ATATACAGTCTTGGACAAAAGGTTTGTATTAAAGTTGATAAAAAAAACAATTAGGAAAATTAATTGTGCGAGAGCTTTTGAGGCAATGACAACATCAGTATGATAACATGTTTACATCATTTTATATGAATGATTTCAATATGTTACATTTGCTAATAATTACTATAATTTTTTTTATAGAAATCCCATCATATCTGATAGAGCAAGTATAGGTAGCAAAGACAATATGGACATATATGTGGTAAAAAATCAAGTATTATGAAGTTAACTACTATGTCCCATATATTCATATTTGTAAATTTATAAATTAATTTTAGATTTTATAAATTTGTTAAACAATCAACTTACAAGGAAGTGAAATATTTTTCCCCAATTTTATAGGCAACGAATGATACAAAAATTGAAAGCTTACAAAGATATGTGCAACATTGTTACAAGGTAATCTACTTATAGGTTTGTATGTATAACAAAAGTTACGTACTTCATTTTTTGTCAATTCCATCTTATTTTTGTAGTTTGATGTTGTCATAGATGTATGTCAAAAATTCTATCAAAACAATTTGAAGAAATTGTTGAACATGACGTTTGATTTGGACTATGTCAATCCATGTCAAAATGTAAGTTTTGAATTTTTGAATTTCGTTTATAAAAAAATTTCACAATATTTACATTTTATGTCTTTATACATAATAAGCCAATTAGAAAAACCAAAGTTATGATTGTAAACTATTAGTTAAAGTACACATGCGAACAATTTTGACTCATTTTAAGAACGTAAAAATGTAATTTAATCAATATATATTATTAGCAAACTAATTTTTACATATATCTTATATATTTTTTGCTGGAATTGCAAGATCTTCAGCCTCATGTTACCAAATTCAGATTTTATATGAATTTTTGTTGTACATTTTTTTTAGCTAAGATTAGTGAATATTGTATTTTTTTAAAGATTTGTACATCTTTTAATGTACGTATATTTTATTTATCAAATACGTTAATATCAAATGTTACATTGTACATAATTATTCATATGATTTATATGTATATTATTAGAAAAAATAATATGAAATTCATATTATAAATCTAAACGAGTTTGAACACGTATCATGTGTGCCCGACCGCTAGTATATATATGTATGTTGTACGGTGGAAACCAAATCAAATCCTCACTCTCTCTTCTCTTTCCGTTCCAATATCACCGTTCTCTCTCTCTCTCTCTCTCTCTCTCTCTATTTATTCTTTCTCTTTTCATCTCCAGCACCACCACTATTACCACCACCGTCCCAAGACCACCATTCTCTCTCTCTCTCTCTTCATCTCTAACACCACCACCATCGTCCCAACACTACCATCACACCGTCGCCTCACAGGATACTGTATTGGACTCAAAGGTTTCCAAAACCTTAGAGCAAGAGCCATTACCAAGCCTTTGAAGCAAGGGTTTCACCAAATCCATCATCACACTCGACTTCGAACCGGAAAAGTTGCTTTGAATAGATCTGTGTTTTTTTTTTTTTTTTGAAAATATATTGACCAATTTTTTTGCAAACATTTTATCTGAGTTTGAATCTGTAGAGTGGGATCAATTTTTTTTGCAAACATTTTATCTGAGTTCGAATCTGTAGAGTGGGATCAATTTTTTTACAAGCATTTTTTGAAGAGATTAATTGTTGTTGTAATCTATTATTCTCTCTCTCTCTCTCTCTCTACTTTTCTATTTTTGTTTTTATTTTTTATGACTGTTTGTTTATTGTTAGATCGAATGGCTAAAGGAGTGTAATCTCTGTGTGCGTATGTGTATATGTGAATGTATGTATTTCTATATATTTGTTCTTACATTCAAGATTGCATTGTATATTTGTGTAAAAGAGAGAAAAAATTTCAACAGATCATGAATGGTTGATCTTTTTCTTTTTTTTTTTAACATATAGCGTCTTGTTTATTTCAATAACAAAGATTTGAATAGATAAAAAATTAACAAATATAATTTAAGGAAAAAAATTGAACAGATAATAAAATTTGGACAGATAGATTTAAATAGATAAGTAAAAAAATTGAATAAATAATAAAATTTGCACATATTTGAACAGATAAGAGAAAAAATTGAATAGATAATAAAATTTGGACAGATATTTGAATAAATAAGGGAAAAATTGAACAAATAGTCAAAAAATTAAATAGATAAAAAAAAATATTTGAATAGATGGTCAAAAAAATTAAACTAATAGTTAAAAAAATTCAACATATAGCTAAGGGATAAAATTGAAAACAAAATATCCTCCGAAATAACCACAAGACTTCTCACCAAATTATTTCATAAACGGTGAACCTCTCACCGACAAAAAATATCCACTGGACCTAATACAGAATTGTTAGATTGTACTTTTCAACAATTTTGTCTTTATTTATTTATTTATTATTATTTAGAACATCCTCACCAAACTAGTTTTTTTTTTTTTTTGGTTATATTTTAGTTTAAAAGTTACTACTTTTTTTTCTTTTTTTTAAAAAAAAAAAAAAATTGGTTATACACTTTTTAAATATATACTTTTCAACAAACTCTTTATCATTTCTCCATACTATTTAAATATAAGTTTTTATTATTTTTCTTTTTATAAACTTTATACAACTAATTTCAAAATATCAAAAGTAATATTTTTTATTATTTGAGAAGTCCAAACTATTAGCTACATTTGATGAGACAAATTCACCAAAACTATGGGTTATTTTGGAAAGTGTCAAAAAAATTAACTTTTTTGCTTATTACAAAAAAGACGTGTAAAAAGTAAAGAGATGATATAATTCAATAAGTCAATAAACCAATAAATTACATTATGGCATTTTCCAAAAGAGGAATAGCTAACTTAATAGCTAATTTTTTTAGATTTAATGATTTATTTACTGTTTTAACTAAAAAGGGATAACTAACTTGATAGAGATGCCCTTATATAATAGTTTTCAATGCTAATTCAAATATTTGGCGAACTCATTTAACAAAGTCGATTTTGTTTGGTTTGGACTAAAAAGTCATTTTTCGCTATAAAAAAAGGCTAACAATTGAAAAATAAATAAATAAATAAAATTTAAGGATCCACTCAACTTTTCAAACAAATTTTTTTTATGGAAAATAAAAAGAATGATATTATATGCATCAATTATTGTACTAACTAGTATATCAACACTAGTTATGATATTATTATTGACACCACTCATTATACAAATTATAAATATTAAAAACATTTTAAATTATGTCACATTATCAATCGATATATTAATTAGTACACTAATTTGTGCGCATAACATTAGTTAAATAAAAATTACTAAAACAAACAATTGTCGGTTCAACTCATAAAGCCTAAAGTGAATTTTATTTTATTTTTTTTAAAAAAGAGTAAGTGTTTTGGGGTGAGAGAGGCTCGAACTCTCGACCTCAGGATAACTCAGAATAGCTATGAGACCTACGCGCTAGCCAACTGCGCCACCACCCCAAGATACTCCAAATCTTCGGCAAATAAAATAAAATATTTATTGACATAGCAAAGTTCTAGGGAAGGACACGTGTTGATCAGAGGGAACAAGTAGGGCACTATAGGTTGGACGATTTAAAAATAAAATTATAAATCGAATAACGGATTACAAATTAACGGATTGAAAAATATTTTAATCAATTATAAAACTTTTGTATAATATATAATACTAATTTGCATATATATAATCAAACTAATTTTACATAATATTTTAATTAAATTACAAATACAACTCCTACGGCTTACTTTAAGCACCTAGAATGAAGGGTCAAAACTGTGGTTTGCATTATGTAATCATACAAAATCGACGGTCCACCTCTGTTGAATAGGAAAGCTTGTAAGTTTCCTATTTTTCAGCTTTGTGGTTGATGGTTGACCAGAACTCAACGTCCCCATTATGGTGACAACGTAGATAGGTAGGTGTTAAGTGCATCCGGGGAATTTTTATTCTCTCTCTTTCATAGACTGTAAACCAAGTGGTTGTAGCTTCGGGAGAATTTTTTTGAATTCGAGCTCATAGAAAAACGTTGAACATTTAACTATATTATTTTAACTTATTAATTGATGAGTAAATTATAAATACAATTTTTAGAATTTGATTAAAATATAAATTATTACTATAATTTTAAAAATTATATTTCGTTTCTTAAAATTTTTAATTTCATAATAAAAGACTATTTTTATGAATAATTAAATCAATTAACAGTTTTTAATTTCATAACAAATTAATTAATAATTAAATCAATTCATAGCAATCCCCTTTTTCTCTAGCTTTTGATCCCAATTTTAATAAATAATTAAATCAATTAACAGTTTTTAATGAGGTTAGAAATATATTTTAATTAATAATTTAAATAATTTTATTATTATATAGGAGAACAATTATAAATTTTATTTTTTTTAATTAATTCTGTTAAATAAAAAAATTCTAACAATAAGATATTTATAATTTTTTAAATAACATAAGGCAATCTGTATTATTAAATTTTAAAATTTAAATCATAATTAACAAATAAAATGATATAAATTGATTTATATCAATACAATTTTAATAAATTAGGCGATAATTTGCAGAATCAGGATCCTCTCCTTGCGGCCTTCATCCTTGCGTCCGTCCTTGCAGACCTTCGGGTCTACTTTTAGACCCAATTTTGATAATCCAAACCGTTCATATTTTATGATTTATTCAGTATATCATACCTGTAAAAATTCAAGTTGATCGGATATCAGAAAGTATGTGTTCGAAAAATTGAACTAAAAACTATTTTTTAAATAATTTAATAAACAGTTTTCCAAACACATACTTTCTGATATACTTGATTTTTTACAGGTATGATATACTGAATAAATCATAAAATATGAACGGTTCAGATTATTAAAATTGGGCCTAAAAGTAGACCCGAAGACCTGTAAGGACGGGCGCAAGAACCAGGCTGCAAGCAGAGAACCTTGGCTCATAATTTGCACAGCAATGTTGCAAGTACGAGGAGGGCAAATCTTGTCGGTCAACAACTGAAACAAAGCGTTGCTTTTGTTCTGGTCTTGTCCTCTCGTTTCTATCGGCCCCAATTTTCTCCACACCTTTCTCTCTCCTTCTCTCTCTCCAAACAACAAAGGAGGGTTCACATCAGCCATTGGGTTTACTCCTTTTCTTCTTCTTCTTCTTCTCTGAAAACTCAATCACTCAATCAGATCTTCTCTCAACAGTTTCAACACATATTTATTCAAACCCTTACCCAAAGGTACTGTTCTCTATACATGTTGGCTTTATTGCTATGATTATTATATACACAGATACTTATATATATGTGTCTGATTTGATTTATTTTCTTTTGAATGGGATTGTTACAAGTGATTTTTATTGATCAATTTCAGTATGTGGGTACTACGTGTTTATGTTTCTTCAAATAGTATCAAGGAGTAGTGTGTCTTTCCTCTCTGTGCCAAGTTGTGATCTGACTTAAGTTGACATTGATGATTGATTCCTAAAATGGGCTTCCCATTTGATGTGATTTATCATTTGAGAAATGGGATAATGAGATGGAGATTATAGATGAGAAATTAACAACACATTAAAACTTATGCTCATCTTGATGATTGATGCCTAAAATAGGCTTCATTGCCGTTACTCATTTGATGTGATTTTGTATTTGAGCAATGGGTTAATGAGATATAGATTATAGATGGCAGCATTCAAACTTATACCGATCTTGATGATTGATGCCTAAAATGGAATTCACTCCCATTGCCCATTTGATGTGATTTAGCATTTGAGCAATGGGTTAATGAGATAGAGATATGTGTTATACAGCATACGCGTATATAGTGCCCAATTCACACATATTGCTCATTCCCTGTCCTCCCCTTTAACCCCACTGTATCATGTGATTTGGGTATAATAGCCATACTGGTGTGGGATTGGTGAAATGGTGATAATTGAATTTTGGACTAATATTATTGTAACTTGTATGGGGTGAAAAATGGTTTGAAGCTTTGAAAATATTGTAAGGTTTAAGATTTTTTTGGAGTAAATTAATTACTGTTTGATGTTTGTCATTATGGTGAAATTCTTTTGATTTCTTTATAAAAAGTTTACCAATCTAATTCATTTTTAAAAAGTTGAAAGTTGATTACTTTGTGCATAATCAAACTATGCTGTCAACATTGTGAATGATTTTTTATTCATCAATGAAATTCTTGAGTACCCATTTGACAAAATTTGTGCACCCGCCAATAATAATAATAATAAGATAAATATTAGAAAGGAAACAAAAACGAAAAAAGAAAAATAAAAAAAGACAAGACATGCAGGTCTGTTGTCTAACATTTTTTGCGTTTAGAACTAAACAAATGCACAAGTTCCACCAACCTTTGGTCCGACTACATGAATGCTATTTTAGTCATGAATTGTGATCCTTAGAGGACATATTCTCTGTTAATTGATAAGCGTCATGTCTTTCTTCACCACCTCAATCGACATGTTTTTTGTCTTCCTCTTGTTGGAATTTCACTGTCCACCTCAAAAAATTTTATCACTTGCTTTTCAGTGATGCCTCTTCTATTTATGATCTATCGAAGATAAGCAAACTGGTCACTTCTACACATGTCATGACCTTTGTTTTGTCCTATTTCTTCATTTCTATGTCCAGCATTATTGTAACCACTTCTATATAGAAAGAATGATTTTTTAGCACCAAACGCCTTTGTGCACTTAGAATACATGTTGAAAAGCACCTTTGTACCAATGGGGGTTGGTCCAAGTGGAAAGGGACTTGGGTCGCTTAAGCAAAGGTCTCGAGTTCGAGCCTTTGTGGATGCAGCAAACCCCCTTGGGAGAGGACCCCACATTTGCGCCCGGCAGCTTTCTCGGCGGATTAGTCCTGGGTCCAAAAAAACCTGGGGATACCGTGGGAGACCTAAAATAAAAAAGAAAAGCACCTTTGTGCTAAAAAATCAGTTTTTCAGCTGGTGAAAAGCTGCGTGAAACAAGGCCTATCATCGTAATTGATTTGGGGTAGAAATTGTATGATTTATGATACATGATGTCATTTATGGGAATAAGACTTCCCCACTTCCCCCTTTATTTATTTATTTTCAAAGGTAAGAAGAGGCTGCATATTAGGTTTTTTCTGAAACATTGGTTCCATTAACTTTGTTGTCTGTAACAGTTCATGTTCATGGTCTGTATAGTATAGAACTTATATCGTCTTTTGATTATTTGCTTGCTATGACTATATGTTTAGCCAACCTCAATTGATTGTAAGAACCAATATTTTCTCTGATTTGTTTTATGCATGTAGCTATGATGACTAAGGAATATTAAGGATTCTGGCAATCAATAGCAAGACTCATATTCCTCACCAAATGCAACTATATCTCATCTGATAAATGTTACCCAAATAACATAATTTTATCTGCTTTTGTTATATTACAGGTTTCTCTTCAACGATTATAGTCCAAGCTTGCATGCTCAAGAGGATTTATTTGGTTTATACAAGACAATTTAGTGTGGGCCTCAATGGGATCAATGCTCTCATGCATGGGATGGCAGTCTTCTTGAGGGGAATGAAGGACGTTAGTGAGGATTTGTGTTACTTGTTCACAGTTAACACTAGGTAAGCCCATCAATTTTGCTTAGTCCACAGGCCCTCCTACCCTTCTTTAATTTTTAATTTACCATTTTAACCTAGGTTTTCGTAAATCAACGATATTTAATGTCGATAGAAAGCTTTTTCTTTTCTTTTTCTTTTCTCTTTGTTAAGTTTGCATGTTCTCTGAAAACTTCATGATTAGCTTTGTTATGTACACTTACAAGCAAAAAAAATGGACTTATCTTTTTACTTTTTATCATCCAAATTAGTTTTGTCGATTCAACAATCAAAATGTTGTTGTGTCAGGGGGTATAGCAAATGCAAGTGATGGACCTTTCCTCCAAATTGATGGTTGAGACATAGGATTGATGGAGTTTAACTCTAGCAGGATATTATCTGTGTACAGAAGCTAACTTTCAGTAGTAAGAAGCATTATTATCTACTTACATAAAACATATTTTTAGTTGGAATTGTCGATTATAGCCCCGCTTTACTTATTCGTGCAGTATCTGCAACCGATATTTGAAATGGAAAATGGGCAGAATATGAATGCTTTGGGAAAAGAAAAGAATTTTGTAATGAATCCTCTCGATGAAAGAGACCATGCTAAAAGCAATAGTGACATTATGAACCGTCGTTTAAAGAACCGAGAACGCCAACGTAGATACAGGGCTCGAAAGCGTCTCGAAGCTGATATGAAAAAGGCATGTACCATAAACTACTCAACTCCACTGCAAATAGAGATGCAAGTGAATGAGGTTCCCAGTAATTGTTTGACTAGTATTCATTGTCGACGAGATTGGAAAAAAGATGCGAGAAGGGCACATGCAGTCAAGGAACAAGAAGTAATGTCAAATGGCCCAGTTATTACCGGTTTGACCTTAGCCAATGAAAGTCAAGCAACCTTGTTGCCCTCTGGAGCTGAGGCGAAGCCACCAACAGAAAGTGAACTTCATTCAAAGAATTCTCCTGTCTATGACAACAGTGAAATAAGAGCTACACCTGGCCGAAGACATTGGAAAGCCGATGCAAGAAATAAGAAAAACTGAAGTGGTTGCTGCCAAGTTGCTTTACATGGGTGAGATCAATTTTTAATATATTAACCAAGTTCAGTAGGAAGATGTCTAAATAGAAATGGCCACGAAACTCATGATGATGTAGCCTATATTACATGGAAAAATGTGTGAAGTATCTGTGCCAGACACTCAACACTCGAGTAACGGTGTGAGATATGTGTCTGACATGTATAGTTGGACATTTTCCCCAAAAGAAAAATATTAATACACAATGAATATTTCAACATGTTCCCATGTCCTTAGACATGGAAATTAAATGAATCTGACCACATACACATACCTGTGAGTCCATGTAACATAAATTGTATGTCCTTCAAGTAAGGGTTATTAAAGTAGTATTCTTTAACATTTTTTCATCTTTTGTGATTCCAGGTATTTAGAGGTGATGGACCATAGGCCTGTTGTTTATTTTTGCATAGCAAGGAACCGGAGGATAATTTCAGTGACTGGCAAGTGATTAGAAAAGTCAGGTCAGTGGTGATATGTTAATATAACACCATGATGCAAATAGGAGGATTTGTCTTTATATGCATCTTTCTTGCATATTGCAAACTGATTCTACTGGTATGTTTGTATGTGTATAAATTTTGTTGAAAATTAAATCTTCAATCAATAAATTGCATCATGACCAACTGCCGTGCTTGCTTGTTAAAAGTTTGTGGCAAAATTTTTATAGTGTTTTTCATGGTACCACCTTGAATTAAAATCATGAGAACATTAGCAATATAAGCATTGCCTATACTTTCTTGCTCAAAAACGTTTGTTCTCTGTGTCTTATGCTTGACCATACTTATTCAATCCGTAGCTACAAGGATGGATCCAAGATTCGAACTTTGGGAGGGCAAATACATAGGTAAATTTTCTTTTTTTGAAATTATCTTACTAATTACTAGTATAATATACATAGTTTTTACAATTTTTGGGAGTGCGGTCTAGATCTGTCCTTGGCTACAGATTTGCATTTCTGTATGTTATACCAACTTATTACTCGCTTGACTGAGCCCTATAAGTGGGAGAAGGAAAGGCTTATAGAGATGGATTGTGGGCTACCATTGACAATAATGTCAAGGACCAAAACATTGACAGAGATTCTGAAGTAGTGATATGATATGTTAAGGACAAGGTAGCATGAGAGGTTTAAATCTAGAAAAGAGGATTAGATTTCTATTTCAACAGTTGATGAGTTTAAGATGGATCATATTTATGGTCTCTATTTTCTTCTTATCTTTTCCCCTTTCTTTTTTCTTTAATTCTTCCCGCAAAGTTATTATCAAAACACAACCTAAGGTGTCGTTTAATAATGTTGTTAGTTTTCTGTTTTCAGCTTATGAAAACAAGAAACAACTATGCTTGGTTATCATTTTTCAAAAATATTTTTCAAAAAATTTTACTTTCTTATTTTTCGTGTTTTTTTGTTTTTATTGATTTTTTTAATATTTTGAGCAATTTTTTTAATTTTTAAACATACCTAACATACATATACCTAAAAAGTAAAAAAAAATTGAAAAAAACCTTTTAAAAATTCACTAAATACCAAAAATATAAAAAAAAAAATACGAAAATTCAGTATATTTTTTATATTTTTATGTATTTATTAATTTTTAAAAATATTTTTTCACATATCTTTTACTTTTTAGATACATCTAAGTAAGGTGCACTTTCGTTTAAAAAAATAAAAAAAAATATTTAAAATTTTATAAATATTCACTAAAAAATAAAAATAAATACAAAAATCAAAAACCTCAGTTTTTAAAAAATTTAATTCAAAAATCTCAAACCAAACACACTATATATATATATATATATATTTATATAAAAAAAAGTTGTTTGGTGTTCATTAATGTTTTGAAAATAAAACTAAAGATACATGTTTGGTGATGCACTAGAGATAGTGGCCAAATAGTAGCTGGCAGTGGGGGTGGCTGGAGGTAGCTGGTGGTGTGTTGTCAGAGATTAGAGGGTCACGGGGTTTACAGGAGATGACCGTCTGATCGTCAGCCAAGTCATCGGTGACCAATGGTGGTTCATTGTGGCTGCTGCTGCTGCTGCTGCTGCTGCTGCTGGTGGACACTGGCCGGAGGTAATGTGGGAACACCACAGGTGATGGGGGAGGGAAGTGATTTTTTATTTTTTTTTCATTTTCAAAAATTTTGTAATTCATTTTATTTTTTAAAAAACAAAACAATAATATATCAAATAAATTTTGTTTTCCTTTTAAAAAAAAAAAAAAGGAATAAATAAGGCCTAAATGTTTAGCCTGCTGATGTGATTGTTGTGGGTTGATCATTAAAATCATGTCTAAAAAATCATCTTGTTTGGATCTAATTATTTGAATTTAATTTTTTGAAAATTAAGTTTTTTTTTATTTTTGATATTTTTTTGTTTTTAATAATTTTTTAAATATTTTAAACAATTTTTTTACTTTTTAAATACATTTAATATAAATATAACAAAAAAGTATAATATTTGTAATTTTTTTAAAAAAAAATCATTAAATAACCAAAATACCAAAAAAAAATGAAAATTAAGTATACTTTTGTATTTTTGTGTATTTATTGATTTTTTAAAATATTTCTTACAAATATTTTTTTTAGGTACATCTAAGTTAGGTGTATCTAAAAAGTAAAAAAAAAAAATTAAAATGTTTTAAAAAAAATACTAAAAATAAATAAATCAATAAATAAACCATAAAAAAAATTAATTTTCAAAAAATTAAATTTAGAAAATTGAAATCAAAATTCACATAAATGCTCAATCATGTATTGATTTTCTCTACAATTTTGTTGTTTTGTTTGACCATCATGTGAAATATTGATTTGATTATTACCAAAAAAAACTTTGAAAAGTCTGAATCAATAATGAAAACTATCAAACAAATGCATGTGAATTCAAATAACCATCTTGACAAATATTCAACCGGATACAGTTCTCGGTAATTTTGGTACACTTTATTTATAAGCATAACCATCCACCATCAATCAAGCTTCAACACAAAACATCTATGATCTTCTTTGGCTCAACCCATGGAAGAAAAATAAATAAATAAATAAAAATCATATATACTAATAAAAGAAAATAAGGGAATTATTACGTTATAGCAATAGTTCAATGTTTCAATGTCCTTGCACTTCCCTTCTTTGTTTCAGGTCCTCAAAGCTCCAATCCCTTCTCATCCCACTGCTCCTCACCAGCTTGGGTCCGTTATCATAACCGATAGGTCCGCTACCATGGAGCCGGTGGTGGTTGTTCTTGGCCGCCTTTCTGGCCATGGCAGACTCGTTATGGTTTCTTATTTTCTCATAAGGCCTGGGTGGTGCTAGGTTCCCTGACCATGTTCTATCTACATTTTTAAAACGACGTAGCGTAAAAAGGGGCTTGTCAGAACTCTCGGTGAGTTCTTTCTCTGAGTCTACTCTTGGCAGGCTCTGACATGTCAGGCAATTGAGACTCATGATAATGAAAAGAGAGAAAAAGATTGGAGGGCGTGGAGAGAGAGAGAGAGAGAGAGAGAGGTGTTATTTCTCCATTAGTAGGGTTGAAGTATTTACATGATAAAGGGATGGGGGGATGAGAGGAATGAGATAGGTTGGAGATGGATAGAGTTGTTCTAGGTGGTGGTGAAAGGGATTTGGTTGTTCATGGTGATACTCTATTGTTGGGGTACATAGTTGGCCTATAATTAGGATGTTTCTTTGTGTTTAAGAATATCCACCAAAAAAAACAAAAAACAGCTGGTCCAAGGCTAATTTGGGCATGCACCAATATCATCTTGTTGGATTAGGATCATCTATCATGGATGTTTATTTACTTTAAATGGCATTATTTTAGAATGTGTGATTCTGAAAAAACAAACAAGTCATTTTATTTAAATTTTATATATCGAACTGTTAAACTCTGTATGAGTCTTATTATGGTGGAAAGCATAACAAGTGCATAAAATTTTATATAGTGACAAAAAAAACCCTTAAAAAATGCCTCGAGTTTGATTGTGTAATGTAAATTTTTAAGTTTGACATGTTGTGGATCACACCCAATATCAATCTAATTTACATATTTCAAATTCTATACATTTTTCTAAATCCCTAACATTGTTGTGAAATTTTCTACTATTAGCAAAAGAACCTATTATTGGAAAATTACTAAATACTTTTAGAATACTATGTGACATTATTTACGAGTTACTCTCGATAAATAAGAAATCGCAATACATATTGAGACATTTTTTTATTTTAGGACTACTGAATAATTAACCTGTATTATGTGTATACAAAGAATTACTTAATTTTAGGAAGGTCAGTAGTAATTGAACATAGCAGACATAATATCCAATGAATGGTTCAGGCAAGCTTTGTTATATGACATCTTTGGTCCTAATTGGACCCATGAATGGGGTGAAAAAAACTTCTTCAACCCATTTTATTTCGGATCGGACCAGTTGAGTTTGACACTCTGCACATTGGGACCATGGGTCGGACCAGGCATTTGATACCTTTGTGCTGTTTTTTTTTTTTCCTCCTTAATTCTGGAGATTATATGTATTTATTTATTTTTATTTAAATGTAAGATATTTCTTGTAGTGATTATTGACTTTCTAATTATTATTGAAATTTAATTATTCAATTTGATGTCATGTTTCTTATATATGTAATTCATTTTTTATCAATTAACAAAAAATTATATATGTATATTCCCTACAAATCAATTTTTACAATTTTTTATTACACATTTTTCAATAAAAAGTCAAAAAATTAACCCAAACATTTATATTTTCAACCTCAATTTTTTAGTTCAAAAAGACAAAAAGTGCACTTTTTTAATCTTCCCAAACTTGACCTAAGTCCATGAGATTCGTTTAACAAAAAAATTTTTTTGACATAATACAATAAGTCCATGAGATTCGTTATTTATTTTTTGAATAAAAATACACCAAACAAAACAAAACAAAATAAATGGCCCCAAAATAAAACAAAAGGGCCCAAACTATGTTAACGATGAGACAATACAATCTCCTGAAGAATCTCGTAGAATAATTATTTTATATACATAGTAAATCAAGCTATTTCTTTGCTTCAAATAGGTTTGAACAATTTCAATTATATGAAAATGCTTTTGATTTTTTTATTTAATTTTGAAAATTTTAAATATGTTAAAACATAATGTGTGAGTGATTTTCTGATCACACTGCCCATTTAGTAATCAGCGAGAGACCACCGGCAAGAATAGATGGCTTCAATTAACCTGTAACAGAAAGAGAAGGCTCCAGCGGTGGCTCTTACACCCGGGGCACTCCGACGATCAAGTCAGTATATCTCTCAAAGATAATCAACTGCTAAACTCACTGCTCAAAGCATAAATTGCATACCTTAGACCTACGGGGGTGCCTCTCTTTTATAGTTAACTCAATCCTAGACCCACTAGAAGCCTGACTTCAATGGACTCCAATTCAGTACTTATTTTGGACTCCTCAAAAGATAAAGATAAACTCCCTAAGAGCTTTATCCTCATCTTGACTAAGTCTCCTCTTCATTTTAGGACTCTTGTCCCTTATCTGTTTATCCCGGATTCCGATATCTTCGGAGTTAACCTCGGCAACGCCGAGATAACCTCGGCATAATGACCAGGACACGTGGCACCTCGGCTGACACATCGGCGTCACCTTGCCACGTGTTGGTACTCAGAAAATATATCCCCACAACTACTCCCTAGGTTCTATTACCTCGGCATTTTGAGGTGATGGAACCTATATCGGTACTTCCTCTTGTACATTGGCTCAAGAACTCCTTAGCCAAGATCATTCATTTCAGGCCAATATGTTTTCTTCAGAGAACAAGAATTCCAGTGAATTCTTTCACGTGTGTGAGCTGTCACGTATCATTTACTCAATCGTTTTATTCGCGCGTCTCTACCTTATTGGACCGTACCCATGACGCGCTTGGAAGCCGTCTTACGTCTGTGTGCGCCGTCTGACGTATGCGTTGTTCCAGGCGCATTCAATACTCCGTTTTGCCGCCGTTTCAAATTTTTGACAAAACCTTTCCCCCTTTCTTCATTTTTCACTTTTGCATTCGATTTCTCTTCGCTTTTTCTCTCTCTAGCTCCTGAATAGGCCATTGTTCCAGTCTTCAAGCTCTGCAACTGCCTTCCGTTCTTCCTTCCTGTGAAGCTTTCGTCGTTCTCGTTACATCTGTAACTATCGTCTGACTTCGGCAATCTTCATACCGGTTTTCTGGTAAGCCACTGTTCCTTTCGTTTTCAATTCTGTTGATATTCTTCATTTGCCATTTTTGTTTCAAATCTTGCGAATCACATATCTGAACATATTTATTCAAATGGTTTTGATCTTGCCTATATCTTGAATACATACTGCTCACCACTTTCTTGTACTCTTGTTACTGTTCTTGACCCTTTATGTCTCATATTTTTTATGCTCTTGATAGCCCATCCCTGTTCTTGATTTCTAAAGCACGTCTTTGCCTTTCTGTCTTCTAGATCCGTGCCTTCAACCCTTGCTTTCATAGATCTAGGTTTGGGATTTGTTGTATAGAACCCATAATTTAGGAAAAAACTGAAACTAGTACTTTACCTAGATTTTTGTTGAGGTCTTATTAACCCTCTCAAGATATTTTTTCTCTGAAATCCAACCCCTCTAATTCAGGCCGATATCATGGGTATGTGGAGACATAAGGTAGATACTCCAACCAAACTTGAGTACTTTAGGCAAGAGTTTTCTATCCCTGCCGATGTCCATCTGAGACTGGCTGGAGATAACGACTCTATCATGCCCACAGATGATTCGATGCCTTTTCCCATTGTAACTTTCACTGAGTGCGTACTCCAGCTCCCACTCAACATCCTTTTTCGTGAGATTCTTCACTATTATAAGTTGAACCCCATGCAACTGGCAATCAATTCCTACCGAGTGATCAATGGCATCATAGCCTTAGCTAAACAGTAAAATGCTAAGATCACCCTAGCCAATATCCAGTATTGCTATACCATATGTGCCCTTAATTTGAAAGAAAAAGGCTACATTTATTACCTTAAGTTGAGGTCTACAGAATTCAAAATCGTAGCCAACCTCCCAGACTCCAACAAGGGGGCTGGAGATGACTATCTCATTACCTCGGGAAATTGAGAGTTTGCTCCAAACGAGGACATCCATCTCTACCCTCTTCCTCGATCAGTTTTAGAGGGCAAGGGTAAGAGCCCAGTATTCAGCTTTGTCCGTTTTCTTTCAAAGTCTTAAATACTTTGTCTGTTTCCGACGTCTGTTCTTTTTGCAGCTGTTCGTAAGCCACCAAAAAATTTTCGCCAAACCTTTGTTCCCAGTAAGGATTTGAAGAAACTTCTGGACTTGCCAGTCCATAAAAGGAAAGCGCCTATGCTTCTTAATTTTATTTCATCATGTAAGTCAACTTTGCCCGGCATTCCCAAAAGGAAGAAGAAAAGCCTTTCTCCACCCTCTGCTACAACTCCGTTGACTGCATCCACATCACGAACAGATCAAGGATCAACATCTGATCCAGCTGATCAGCCATCAACTTCGGCTCCATACCTGGTCCCAATATCTGAACGAAAACGTCGGCGACGACTCGTCCTTACTACCGAGATGGGCCGCCCAAAACCAGTTGCAAGAGACCTCTTAGCCAGCATTCCATCATCTGTTCATGATCAACCAGCACAAACCCAGCCTCCACCGAAGCCGAAAAAAGTAAATAAGGCTCAACCAAAGGCTAAGATAGCTCAAGTTGAATCTGAAGACACTTTGCCGATCTCAAAGTTGGCTGAGAGTGATAAATCTCAGCTTTCTGCTGGGAAGAGGCGCTCTGAGTCTCAACCACCAGAATCCCAAAACCCAAAAAAATCGAGGTCTTCTTCTGCAACAACCTCGGGATCAAAAAAACCTGATGCCCCTTGGGCCCCCTCAATTACTCTGGAAGACAAGCCTATTATGGCAAGTGACAGTGCCGAGGATATTAATGTCGGCGTTGCGCTCAGCACTGCTCTGCTGTTACCAGGCGATTTGGAGCGAAACGCCCAGTACAGTGAGTATGAGAATTACGCTCTAATGCTTCAATGGAACCTATATCGGTACTTCCTCTTGTACATCGGCTCAAGAACTCCTTAGCCGAGATCATTCATTTCAGGCCAATATGTTTTCTTCAGAGAACAAGAATTCCAGTGAATTCTTTCACGTGTGTGAACTGTCACGTATCATTTACTCAATCGTTTTATTCGCGCGTCTCTACCTTATTGGACCGTGCCCATGACGCGCTTACAAGCCATCTTACGTCTGTGTGCGCCGTCTGACGTATGCGATGTTCCAGGCGCATTCAATGCTCCGTTTTGCCGCCGTTTCAAATTTTTGACAAAACCTTTCCCCCTTTCTTCATTTTTCACGTTTGCATTCGATTTCTCTTCGTTTTTCTCTCTCTAGCTCCTGAATACGCCATTGTTCCAGTCTTCAAGCTCTGCAACTGCCTTCCGTTCTCCCTTCCTGTGAAGCTTTCGTTGTTCTCGTTACATCTGTAACTATCGTCTGACTTCGGCAATCTTCATACCGGTTTTCTGGTAAGCCACTGTTCCTTTCGTTTTCAATTCTGTTGATATTCTTCATTTGCCATTTTTGTTTCAAATCTTGCGAATCACATATCTGAACATATTTATTCAAATGGTTTTGATCTTGCCTATATCTTGAATACATACTGCTCACCACTTTCTTGTACTCTTGCTACTGTTCTTGACCCTTTATGTCTCATATTCTTCATGCTCTTGATAGCCCATCCCTGTTCTTGATTTCTAAAGCACGTCTTTGCCTTTCTGTCTTCCAGATCCGTGCCTTCAACCCTTGCTTTCATAGATCTAGGTTTGGGATTTGTTGTGTAGAACCCATAATTTAGGAAAAAACTGAAACTAGTACTTTACCTAGATTTTTGTCGAGGTCTTATTAACCCTCTCAAGACATTTTTTCTCTGAAATCCAACCCCTCTAATTCAGGCCGATATCATGGGTATGTGGAGACATAGGGTAGATACTCCAACCAAACTTGAGTACTTTAGGCAAGAGTTTTCTATCCCTGCCGATGTCCATCTGAGACTGGCTGGAGATAACGACTCTATCATGCCCACAGATGATTCGATGCCCTTTCCCATTGTAGCTTTCACTGAGTGCGTACTCCGGCTTCCCACTCAACATCCTTTTTCGTGAGATTCTTCACTATTATAAGTTGAACCCCATGCAACTGGCAATCAATTCCTACCGAGTGATCAATGGCATCATAGCCTTAGCTAAACAGTAAAATGCTAGGATCACCCTAGCCAATATCCAGTATTGCTATACCATATGTGCCCTTAATTTGAAAGAAAAAGGCTACATTTATTACCTTAAGTTGAGGTCTACAGAATTCAAAATCGTAGCCAACCTCCCAGACTCCAACAAGGGGGCTGGAGATGACTATCTCATTACCTCGGGAAATTGAGAGTTT